GAAAATACATGAATGTTAATTGAAAGAAAAATGAATACTTTATTTTACAGATATAAAATAAAGTTTTATACCCAAGAATTGATATGTTCACAAATATGTAAATGAAAAATAATAACAAGATGAATATGATGTATTTTTTTTATATATGTATAATTGTTATGTTACAATAGTGATTATTCATTGAATTTATCATATAAACTCATACTGTTAGACTAAAATTTTTAGATAAGTCTCCTGATAAGTAGAAATAGCTGAAAAAGATGAATTTGTGTACAGAAGAAGACGCTCGAATGATAATAGATAAAATCTGATTTGTGTTCATGAACAAATGAATAATTTGTTATTGGTTGTTCAATATTTGTGGAATGTTAGCCATTACAGTTATGTGCAGTTGTAGAAATTTTTTTAATCGTCCCATTGTCAGTTCTTGTCTCATTAATTCGAGTCTCCGGGCCGGACCATGACATCACTCCTCTCTTTCTATGAACATTGAGAGAGCTCCAAACCTGCAAATCTCTTCTCTGAATTAAGTCTCAAAAGCAAAATCAAATGGAGACAACAAAGAAATCTGAATAAAGGTAAATAAATACTAATTGTTTGAAAAATTAATTACATATTAAGTTGCTCTTTTAATTAAAATAGCTACTCTAACCATTATTTCTGTATATTTAAGATCTCAAAACCTTATGGTCTTATAAAAACCTTGCTTTTATTATTTATGGCCCAAACCCATCATTGTAAGTTGATGTTTGTGTTAGGTTTAGGAGCGTTAGATATGATTATCAAGATATAGATTACTAGATGTTAATCACTTAATAATTATTTCATTGATAATTCAAACAAATCGCAAAATGCTAATAAGTAATAATTTAACCTCAAAGTAATGATAAAATTCCCATATTTAAAATAGATGATATTTTAATAAGAAATTAATTATACTTAACTAACCCTCTAATGTAACAAAATGTATAAACTTCCGATGAAATTTAAATTAAATATATAATTAAATTAAATAATTTTCAAAATCAATTTGCAATACAAGATTTTTGTATTAAAAAACAGCTTTACAAAACAGTAAAAAAAAACGTCTCAAATGAAGCTATAATGCCAATGGAGGTTTTGGGCTTCAATCTATTGATAACCTTTACTTATACAATATGATTTGGAGGCTTTATAATTACAATACATCTCTTTTTGTCATGGTTTCTCAGCGATTACGATTCAATTTGGAATAAACGAAGCAACAAAGCCACATATTTTTAGAAATGTAATCTACTTTTCTTCTATGATCATGGCTCAACAAGAAATCCCTTATTGATTTCTTTGGAATCCATGTGGTTTGCTTGGTTTTATTGTAAGCCTAATATTAGAGTCAATCATTTCATCAACAATGGTCTTTGGACCCTTCCCTTGTCTTTTAGTCAAAACTATAATTCTTGCTTGCAATATATTCTTAATATTGAGATTTTCACCAACTCATCTACTCACTATTGGCTGGATAAACCTATTTTCTTCTACAAATATACATTCTCTAAACTTTATATCATTGAGTTGGAGATTAATTGGAAGGAGTTGATGTGGCTTAAGGTATGTCCAATAAAATATGAGATGTTTTGTTTGAGAAATTCTCATTAATGGGTTAAAAATTAAAGGCATATAGCTATAAGAGGCATCACTTTGGAACTAAATTGTGTCTTTTGTCGTGCTCATAATTATTCTCCATCTCACTTATTATTGGGATTGTCTTTTTCCTTCTACTTGAATATGTATGATGCTGATGTGGACATCATTAATTAAATAAAGCCTTAGGAATACTTTATCCTTGTTAGCTTAGGTGTTTGTGTTCCAGAATGTTCTTTTGCTTTTATATAAACTAAGTAGTGTAGGAGGAAGAGGGGGTGAATGAAATATTACTCTTTCTTAAAACTTTGAAGCTTTGTGTTTGCCATTTTCATTGGATTGGGATTAAATCATTCTTGCAGGTCGATTCTTCCGACGATCCACTACATCAGTTGGTATCAGAGCCTGGAGCTTGCGAAGATCAATGAACTGCGGAAGAAGGTCGGCTGTCGACGACGATCGAAGCCGCAAAATAAGATTGGCGATCGACGACGATCGACGCCAAGGAAGGTGGGCTGTCGACGATGCTCGAAGCCGGATCGCCTTCTATCAAGCTCAAGCGAAGGATTCACTAGATCGGATCGACAGAAACCTTCGCGCAATAAGGAAGATGAGAATGTCATCGGCAACCATACCAAGGTATTCCTCTTCTTCGTCGCTCTACTCGTCCGCTCGCCATCCATCCCGCCATACTCCCACCGCGTTGATGACTACGCTCCGCTCGAACTCCCTCTCCGATGGCGTGATCCGCCGCCGGAGTATACATCGATGCGAGCTTCCGTTACGATGGCGTGACCACCCTCCGTTTCAACAAATCTCTTCAGTCGCTGATTTCGACTCCGTCCAACAAGTCTTCAGTATACCAGAACTCTCAAACCTGCCTGAGGAAATTCCCATGCCCGGCATTCAATCCAATCCCGTCGCTACCACTCCTCCATCGCCGCCTTCAAAACCCACGGCCATCTATGCGCCGGTGACTGACGCCTTCCATTATTCGACCCAACTTCCACATCCTGACCTAACAATGTCCGACGATGACTGATCCGCATCATACCAGATCTACAACCCCGACACCACATCAGTAACTTCCCACAATGTTGACCAGATGGACATCGGCAGGGTTTCTTCCGCTCGCCAGCGAGAAGAACTTCGCGCCAAGCAATGCCAGGAAGAAGAGCAGTATCGGCTTAGTCTCCGCGACGGTGTCTACTCCCTAGATGAGGAAGATGATGCTGATGACCCTCTATTCTGTATTGGCGCCTTTGAACTTACCCCGCTCTACCACGCTTACCACATCTACCAAACCCTTGGTCTCACGAACTGCTTCCACCAGTATCACTTTGAGAACCACAAATTCCCGCTCACCTCGAACTTTCAGGTCGCCTCCTTAACGCATTTCTTGGAATCACATCAGACCTTCTTTCCCCATATCGTAGGGTTCTTCATCGTTGAAGAACGCGTGCTCCGCACTGACGAAGGACTCGTCACCCGCATGGAAGTCGATGCGCTATGGGAGACCTCTGTAGCAAAAATGGTCTCTATCTTGAAGGACCAGTTCTCCAGGATGCAGACGGTTTGTCATCTCCTCGCCATCAAAGATTATGTTAGTACCCTTAGTGTTAATCTCCAGCGCTCTGGTTACACTGTCCATCCTCTACTAGACATCCTCAGCAAGCACCTCGACAAATAACACGACCTTCTGCTCTATAACTGCCGCCGCCAGATCTTGGAGGCCCTCGCGGCCAACAAATTCGAGCAAATGCTCATGAAGGAGTATGAATATTCTATGAACGTTCTCTCATTTCAGATCCAGACCGCTGATATCATCCCATTCTTTCCCTACGTGGCACCAGTCTCCTCTATTGTTCCAGATTGTTGCCGATCGTTTGTTGAAGATTCTGTTAACTTTTTGTCTTATGGTGGTCAACTTGACTTCTATGCTTTTGTCAAGAAGTACCATGATAAGCTTATGGTGAGGGTGCCACTAATGGCCTTATTGGTGGGTGGCGTTAACACCAGCACTCAATATTGGCTGCAAGGCATTTTATCAGAGAATGTCATGGATTATTTGAGATTCGGGAAACAAATTACCAAATATTTTGTTGGTCAGATTATCATTGATGTCACGAGGCGCAACCAAGACCTCTCAAACAGTGTTTGTAAGCAATACCTTAACGAAGTGGTGGGGAGGCGTTTGGTTGACAGAGTTGCATATGGAAAATCTTGTGAATTTGTTGTTGCCTTTCGTGTGTTTGATGAAATGTCATATTACGATATAACTATTTGGAATGAATTGCAGGATGCTAATGTCGATTCTAACCAGCTCACACTTGTTGTTGCATCATCAGCATGTTCACAGTTGGGTGCAAGTGAAATGGACATGTACTCAAAGTGTGGAGATCTGGAGAATGCACTCTCTGTGTTCAGGTCTGTCATAAATAGAAATGTCTTTGTTTGGAGCTCAAAGATTGCAGACCTTGCAATGCATGGAAGGGGAAAGGAAGTCTTAGATCCATTCCAAGAGATACAGGAGGCCAAAGTCAAGCCCAATCATGTTACTTTCACCAACATCCTTAGTGCCTGTAGCAATGCCGAGCTTGTGGAAGAAGGCAGAATGTCTTATATTCAAATGCTTCCTTTATATGGAATTGTACCAGATATTAAGCACTATGGTTGCAAGGTTGACATTCTTGATCGTGCAGGAAGTTTAGAAGAAGCAATGGATCCGAGATGCAAAGTCTTCGACCCAGGAGGATCAATCATAATTTGTACATCTATCTTTCTCTCGATGACGTGCCTCGACGGAGTCGAGTCCTTTTTGTCGCAAGGGGAGTATGATGTGGACATCATTAGTTAAATAAAGCCTTAGGAATACTTTATCCTTGTTAGCTTAGGTGTTTGTGTTCAAGAATGTTCTTTTGCCTTTATATAAACTAAGTAGTGTAGGAGGAAGAGGTGGTGAATGAAATATTACTCTTTCTTAAAGCTTTGAAGCTTTGTGTTTGCCATTTTCCCTGGATTGGGATTAAATCCTTCTTGCAGGTCGATTCTTCCGACGATTCACTACATCATATGCCCTCTGTTTGTTGCATTGAATATGCTTCCAGCTATTGTATTATTGCTTGGACTAGATTTTTCTATTTTGGTTTGTTGTTATCTATGCTCCATCTACAATCAATTTTTTTAATTCTTTTGGACTATCTAAGCTTCGTTTGGTTTATTTGCCGTTTCGGTTTTAAAAATGTCAATATGAGAAATGGAGCTTTTTAAACGGAGAAGTTAATATATAACGCTTCTCAAAACAGTAGAGAAATGGAGTTTCTGAAAAAGTATTCCTCACATCCAAACATGTCCCGTCAGCTGAGTTTTCCATTTCAAACCGAAAAACGGAGGAGAAATGGGGAACCAAACGAGCCCCTAGTTCTGTGCGAGCTTTCTAAAGCATATTTTTATACAAAAATTCTCGTTACTAAAAATAGCTTTAAAAAGCACAAAAAAGCAGTCCTAAACGCAAAATACCTTCTTAGTTTTCTTTGTTAGTTATATAATAATATAGCTTTTGTATTTCAAGGATGGAAGTTGGGCATGGCCGTCTAATTTCTTAAAAAAAAATTAATAGAAGAGGACAAACACCAAGACAAGATAAATGATAGGATGCTTAAATGCTTTGCCGAGACAGAACGCAGAGAAGACACAATATCACAGAACGCGGCAATGGATGAAACCTCCAGCGGCGAACTCTTCGATGTCATCATCATCGGCGCCGGAATAATGGGCAGCTGTGCCGCTTACGAGGCTGCGAAGCTGGGGAAGAAAGTCCTCCTCCTCGAACAATTCGACCTTCTCCACCACCTCGGCTCCTCCCACGGCGAATCCCGCACCATCCGGGCTACCTACTCCGCCCCCCACTACCCTCCCATGGTCATTGAATCCTCTCGCCTCTGGGAAGAAGCCCAGGCCGAATCTGGCTACCGTGTCCTCACCAAAACCACTCAATTCGACATCGGTCCAGCCGACACCCCTAGCCTCCAATCCATAATCACTAACTGCTCCACAAATTCCCTCGCCCTCAAGGTGTTCGACACTGATTCCCAACTCGCCGAACAATTCTCCGGCGCTTTTCGGCTTCCGGTAGGCTGGCTTTCCCTGTCCACCTCTCTCGGCGGCGTCATCAAGCCCACTAAGGCTGTCTCGATGTTCCAATCCCTCGCGATCCGTCATCGCGCAACGATCAGAGACCGCGCCGAGGTTGCTGAGATCAAACGAGATGGAATCGATATCATCCGGGTCTCGACAACCGATGGTCGCCAGTTCCGTGGAAACAAATGCGTGTTAACCGTCGGCGCCTGGAGTAGAAAACTGATCAAAGCGATTAGAGGGCTGGAACTCCCTATCCAGCCGCTTCACGCCTTGGTCTGGTATTGGAAGATCAAGGATGGGTTCGAACCGTCCTTGTCGGCGGCGGGGGGATTCCCGACCTTCGCTTACTTTGGCGAGCCTCAATTGTACGGCACACCGTCGATGGAGTTCCCGGGACTGATCAAGATCTCATTGGTCTCCGGCTGGCCTTGCGATCCGGATCGCCGGGATTGGACGATTGGCGGAGGGGATGAAAGCGCGGTGATGCGGAAAGCAGCGGACTGCATTGAATTGGTGATGCCGGGGCGGATCGAGACGGCGAGGGGGCCGGTGATGACGCAGGCATGCATGTATTCGATGACGCCGGATGAGGATTATGTGATTGATTTCCTGGGCGGGGAGTTTGGGAAGGATGTGGTGGTCGCCGGAGGGTTTTCCGGGCATGGGTTCAAGATGGGACCGGTGGTGGGGAGGATTCTGTCGGAGATGGCTGTCGACGGCGAGGCTGAAAGCATGTATTCGATGACGCCGGATGAGGATTATGTGATTGATTTCCTGGGCGGGGAGTTTGGGAAGGATGTGGTGGTCGCCGGAGGGTTTTCCGGGCATGGGTTCAAGATGGGACCGGTGGTGGGGAGGATTCTGTCGGAGATGGCTATCGACGGCCAGGCTGAAACGGCGGTGAGGATTGGGGTGGATATGAAGGTGTTTGGAATGGGGAGGTTTGAGGGTAATCCGAAGGGGAATGTTTAGGTGTGGTACTCCCTATTACGATCTGTCGTTATCGATCGAAGGCTGAAGCCCTCTTAGAGTTTGGCTTCGATTCTGATTCTCTCTCTCTCTCTCTCTCTCTCTCTCTCTCTGTTTTGTGCAATAATGGATTATCCAGATATTAGCAAGGCTTGCCTAGTTAAAGACAATAGCTCCTTATTTATATATTTATCCTCTAAAATTTGTTATTATTTTTACATATTCAAAAATATTAAAATAAAATCATCATAACACTCCTTATATTACAACCCATCACCCTATCACCTAATTGCTCATCCAATCCCTATTCGTCGTTGATATCCATCATCTTCTTCAATGAAAGCAGCATTGCGCTCGACACACATTACACTCCTCCCATAACTCTCACCTAGTCCCTCAAATCCACTTATATCCCATGGACGTCTTGAAAATCCTAGTAACATCACCATTCGTGGAACACCACCTCCGACCTCCATTGCCTCAGCCTCGCTACCTCCATCTCTATCATAATCTTGCAAAAAAAAAAAAAAAAAGTGTTTCAATATCGCATCCTACCATGTCTTTTCACCTCATCCTAACTTTGTTGATATTGCCGCTTTTTCATCTATGACCATCCAAATCTTGCGGAAGCCTCCTTGTGTATGGCGGCAAAGTTAACTCCATGAACATAATGATATATATTAGTTAAATAATGAAATTTGTAGTTCTTGAAAAAATTTATGCATCCTTTTATGATCAAATAACATCTACTAAAAACTTCATCAACCTCTCGTGCTTCAAAACTATACTTTTTATTGACTTTAGTTATTGTATCCATATGTAAAACCCAAAATCGTTGATCGTAGCTGCTTGTATTTTGCTGCGCCATGACAAAATTTAGATGAATTTTCAAAGTCGTTGGATTTAGACAAAAAAAAATTTATATAATTGTACATTAAATTTCGATCAAACTTGTACAAATGACTTATTCGGAATTTTGCATAGATTTGAAATTACGAATCATTGAAATTTTTAAATAATATGGATATGTACTTGAATACCCTTCTCTTCTTCATGGACTTTTAACATACTAAAGGGCAATTAGGACAATTTGCATTTTTCCCCTAACCACCCATTCTTAATGGGACCAAATGGATTAGGTCCCCTCATTCACTCAGTTCGCTCCATTCGGCTGAACGCGAGCGGCGGACACAAGGTGGATGGGAGGCTTCGGGCAAGGCTTCGGCGATGATTTCCAGCGGCAGAAATTTGGCGAAAGTGTAGAGGAAGGCAAAGAAAGACCTTATGCTTTAGATTTAGCTTTCCTCAATTTCTCTCAAAAAATTCCTAAAGAGAAAATTTTAGGGTTTTGCAAAAACATAACTTTTCTTTGGGAAAATAATAGGGAATGTTAGGGGAAGTATTTTAACCGTAAAAAATGATGTTTTCATCAAATTTTTGCGAGTTTGGAAAAATCAGGGTTTACAAATTTTTGGATTTCAAGAAAATTTCCTTAATGACTATTGTTCTAATGAACCTCAGTGATGTTTTTAATGGTGGAAATTAAGTTTTTTTGCAAAAAATTATTTTCATAATTTTAAAATTAAATAAATTCAAAATATTAAACCCAAATTATTAAATTAATAATTGGGGAGTTTTGAAATGCAATTGGAATGAAATTAGTGAATTCATGGTTTCCAATTTTTTTATTTTGAATAAATCCGAAAATTTAATTAATTTTGTTTTAATTAAGGAATTAGTGATGGTTGATTTTAGTTAAAGTATGGATTTAGACGAATTAGGGAGGTTTAAAAATTAGGGATTTATTAAATTCGAAAATAGAAATTTAATTAATTATATAATGAAAATGTATTATGAATTTATGTTTAAGGCATAGTAATAATATTTGTATTTGCATTTATACTTATGTGTCGATTATAAAAGAACGCCTTGAGCATAAGTGACGTCATTGAGGTTTACTGTACTTGTGAGGTAGGTATTAATACATCTTTTAAGTTTATAAGTTTCTCTTTAATTAAATGTTAAAAATTCTACATGCTTTAATGTTTTATTTTAGTTAAACTACAAGTCATACTGCAATATATATTTTTTCTTTTAAAGTCAGTTGTGAACATACAAAAAATTCAGAAGAACATTTGATCATGAAACATTATTAGACAGACACATATTAATTCATGAATGATTTAATTTTCTTATGTTAAGTATTAAATGATTGAATGTGCATGATGATCCGAAGTATCAAATGGTAAAGGATTCTTCGAATGGGCAAATGGTAAAGGGCTCCTCGGAGCAAATTGGTAAAGGACTCTTAGGAGTAAATGAAATGAAATATTTTGTCAAATTTGAATGTGTACCTGATCAATACAAATTATTGATACTTCCGAGATGGGTGTACAGACTATGTATTATATGCTTCTTTGTATATATGAATGGTAAAGGAAAATTTAAGAAAAAAATTTAAGAAAAGAGTTATGGGCATTCAAAATGTTATGCATTCCAAATGTTACAAGGATTAGAAATACTTAAGATTCTCATGCTATTTAAATTTTGTCATATGTAAAGTTTACTGCATAATGTTTCTTTTTTCCTTGTATTATGAATATAATTAAGATATTTTTTACCTGCTAAATGTTAGCTGACCCCTACATGTGGGAATATTTTTTAAAAGAACATGTTAAGGATTAATTGCAAAGAGATCGATTACTTACCAGCATAGAGCAGTTCAAGGGAGTAGGTTTTTATGGATTGCATTAGTTGTTATGTCATGAACTATTGTTATGTTTCTTTTTATGTTTTAAGATATATTATGTTTTGATGTATTAGAAATACTTATATTGGAAGTTTAGTGGCTCTTTCTTATGTTGTTAATGGATATCTATTTGAGTTGATGTTAATGATGAAAAGAATGTATTAAGTTTATATTTTTGTTACCGTACAACCGTCTATTCCCACCCCGTTAATTCGGTCTAGCTGGGCTGGGTCATGACACCAGACATGGCCAATAAGACTTCAATCATATTGCTATACTTACAAGACATGAAAGATTGAGTGCACGAATGGTTTCCACTTATCGCATTACCAATCCATTATCGATCATAAGTGTGGCGTGTTGGCCGTCCATCTCCTATATATATCATCAATATTTGTGACTATTTAATGACATGAAGGTTTATCATAAGTTTTGTGTGTAAATTTATCCTACTTTGTTAAATGCTTTAATTTTTTAGGGCAAGATTGATTTTGAATGAGTTAGAAATGCTAAGCATATGTAATGTAGTTTTTGTGAGCCATTTAGTTGATTGGTAGTTATGAGTATCAAGTGCCTAATTCGATAAATGTGAAATACAAACCACCCAAATAATGCATTTATCCAATTAAAATTTATCAATATGATCCTTTCGGGATCATAACATAGATTCCATCATAAGTTAAGATTTGTTTGGAATAACTATTTGACTGTTTTTATGATGGTAAAAATATATAGTTGTGTTGTAGATTATTGAGCTCAAACTCGAAGAACGTTTAAACTCAAATATTGTAGATCAATAAACTAAACAAACAAATAAAAATTCTCAAGTTACAAATTCATGAAAAATTCAAAGAATGAACCTTTCAAATACTAGATTAATAAAGATATATACACACAATCACCATGCCAAATATTATATGCCGAAGAGATTAACGCTCGAATCATTGTATACTAAGCCAAATACAAAAATTCAAATGACAAATATGACGTATGCACAATCACCAGCAAAGATTTCAATTAAGAATATAACGATTATTACACGCAATAATATGCAACTCAATCAATATGCATGAAAAGTTAAAAAAAAAAAATCAATGCAAAGTCTAAATCCCTAATTAGGTGATAAAACCTTATTTCAAAGAGGTACAAATTATCAAGCTCAAACTTAGCAATTATTTCATACAGTCAAATTCAATAAAATCATATATAACATGAGACCAAGATCCACCAATGGTAAATTGCACCTCACTCATATGATAAATTAATATCTTAATTAATTATTAATTAGTAGTTTACAAACCTAATCAAATATGATAACTTAAATCATAAATAGCACTAATTTATTTATCAATTTTATTTTTTAATTAGTATATCTTCTTTAATTAGTTCCAAATAATATTATTTATAAAACTAACCTTTACCTCTTTTAAATCATGAATTCGTA